TCGAATTATTAACACTAATTTTATAAATTTTAATATAAGAAATATCTATTTTTCTTAAAAATAGACAAATTTTTAGTAAAATAAAAATGAATATTTATATATTTATATATTTATATATTTATATTATTACATAATTTTAAATTTTCTATATCTTAACTTTTTAGAAATCGAATTATTAACACTAATTTTATAAATTTTAATATAAGAAATATCTATTTTTCTTAAAAATAGACAAATTTTTAGTAAAATAAAAATGAATATTATTTCGAAAAGGATGTAGTAGTTATTGTCGTTTTATTTAATCAAAATGCACTTACAATTTTAGGTAAAAAATTTCACTAAAAAGGTTTCTTTAATGTCTATTTATTAAAAATATTGACAGTGGATTGGGCCTTTCATCTCCGTTATCCACCGAACCCAACCCACAGCTTAAAGATAATAGACTGGTCCGAACCAGATTCGAAATCCGGTTCCAGATCCATTTTAGAGGTAAAAGCCGACACCTTCGTCTTCTTCAATTCAACTTCCAACTCCAAAACACATTTTTTCTGCAAAAACCCAGGAACCTCCATTCTCTAATATCTGAATCTTGGATACCGAACCCTACCTCTTAAACCCCATTATTAATCCAAAAACAAGAAACCAAGAAGCACACATTCCTAACCAAATTCACCATTTTGATCTAGTACTAAAAACAAGTCACAGAGTAATCTTGAAACTACAATAACCCTTAACAATTTGATGCTTTATATGATTCATTATAATCTTCAAATTGACAATGTCATAATTTTCTTAGGCTTTACTACATAATCCAGCACAGAAATTCAACTACCTTATTGATATTATTATAAAACTAACTACTATCATCATTTAGACATCAACTACTTTTACATTATTGATATATATCAGTCATAATATGTATTAGCATTATTCCTAATTATAGAGCTAAATATCAACGAGGGTCGATGTTAAAGTTAACTTCCACCAGTGAATTCGGATTGACATAGTATGCAGAGAGTGGATCCTTATCCTCCATGACCATCCCCAGCCGAGTCAAAGCAGTGCACTCTCCACGATCAAAACGCCTCTCAACTTTCTCCTTCAGTTCTGCCACTGACATTCTTTCTCTCACCTTGACATTTTCAGAGCAGTCAGCGGAGGACATGACCTGAATAGTGAATTTGTCATCGTTGGGGTATGGTGCCACGAAAAGTGCAACTTCAGAAAATTGCTGGATATTGTAGTCCTTGATGTGGTGATCGTCCAGCAGCTCTTCTAAGTCAAAGATGAGAGTTTGCCTTGCAACATCCACTCCCAGGAGGGTGTAAAGCCTCTGCTTCAAGGCAAGAATGGTGGAGGAAACGGGACATGTGATCTGGGGTTCCACCTTTGCACCGACGATGGTCAAGGTAACAGAGAGATGATCATCATGCTGTGCCATCGCAAAACCAGAAAGAGTCAAATTCTCATAGAATTCAGTTAGGGTAACAGTTAAGCATGAAAATGTTAATTAATTTCTGTAAGTATGTATATATATGAAAAATCCATGCAGAAATGAAACTGAGGACGATTCTCATGAGCTGAAGTTTTCCAATTAATCATGGTTGGTGCATTTTCTGGAGGGTGAAAACTGTATAGTTTCATTAATTACTCATGACAGTGTGTCATTGTTTATTCATTTTGGAACTTTATTGATTGTGGACATGCTTTGTCATTAATGGATCTCCTGACAATTTTATTAATTGTAAGGCTGCTGGTGTCTTGGATGATGAGGTAACTAATTGGTTACAAAACTAGCCAATTTTTAAACTTTTTTGTTATGTCAAATTCACTTTTTA